ATTCATGTTAGGAATGTTCAACCATGTATATTTCCAGGATATTCCCGCAAAGTTCTGTATATTTTTTGAACATTCTGGGATATTCATAGAATATCAAATGCTATCTGGGTTATAGTGAGATTTTTTGAAGCAAAACCAAATTAATTATAAAAAATGTTACTTTCATTCATTTAGTACCCAGAAAAAATCTAATCTAATCCGACTGCACTAATTGTTCCATTGAAGGATATCCACCCCACTTCCTAGTAATTTAGGTGCGAATCTGCTAGGTCAGAGATAAATTATCACCGAAGACAGAATGCTTTTTGTTCCTTTATGTATGCAAGGGCTGATGGTAAAAAAAGTAATAAGATTTTTCATGAGTAACGTTTTACCATTTTATCGAAACTTTATTTGAACACAAAAAAAGTGACCACATTTTTATCTTTCCCACTTAAGGGCAGTAAAATGTGAAAAATCTTCTATTTTCATGCTAATCACTGATTACAATTCATCGCTTAATTGAAAATTGACCATTTAATACTTCAGCTTTGTTTGATATAAACAAATATTGAAACATGTCCAGACTAGGTAAATAGCGCCTATACAAATTTAAACGTAGTTCCCCCACTACTCCACTGGGCAGATGCAACAAATGCTATTTTATTTCAGAAGCACTGCTATTGGTCGAAAAAGATCAAGTTTCAAGGACAAAGAACAGCTCAAAATTCCGAAAAAACAGTCAGTCAGTCAGTCACAGCCTGTGACTGACAGGCCTGGTCACATTAAAGAAAATATTGGAGACGGCTGTTACTGCTGTTTCCTACATTTTCTGTTCATTGAATTATTGCTATTTGGCGAATCATGGGTGCACGCAAATATGGTCAGTTGTGTTTCGTATGGTTGTTCCCTAACACCAAAACATAAAACTTGTGGTGTAACATTTCACAGGTAAGTGTTTGTAATCCGAATTAAATGTTTAAAAGTGAAAAATTTATTTGAATGACATTTAGGGTAACCTACGAATCACAACATATTACATAGGCGTCGCTTAGGGTAACATTATTATTGTTTTGTGTTAATATTAGATGTAATTAGAAAATGGGG